CGCCGCCGCGTCCGGCCGCCCCGCGGCCGCTGCTCCCCGCTCCGGGCGCCGCCGCCGCGGGGCAGCCCCGGGGCGCGGGGAAGAAGTGTCGGCGGAGCGGCCTCCTCCCCGCGCCGCAGCCGCCCCGGCTTGCAGAACTTTATTCCGGCCTCGCGGTTATCTCGGGCAATAAATGTCTTGCTGATAGCCGCCTCTGCCCTCCGCTCCCCCCCTTTTAAATCGGCGCCTTCGTGTTGTGCTGAGGGCACTGCCGCCTGCTTTGCTGTTCTTGTTTTTTTTTTTTTTTCCTGAAGTCTTTTGTTTGTTCCCTCTCATCTCATGGTGAAAMTTATTAAAAGCACAGAGGTATTTTGATAAGCTTTAACTGTTGTTAAGTGCATGTGACAAAATCTGACTTGGAACCTGTCAATTTTCTCTTTTCTTCCTCACTTTTCTGCTCCCTTCTCTCTTGCTCTAGTGGCTAAAAACTTTCCTAGGCATAGGAAGGAGGGAGTTAGTGTTACAGTCTTGTGTGTCGTGTGACATCGGTGCAGTTGGGCCAGAATCAGAGCCCTCTCTGTCAAGATAAAATGTTGCCCAAGTCGGGACACAGGGTCGCTTCAAATAGGGGTCTTGCTGTTACCTGTTTGGAGTGGATTAGCACAGAAAACGTAGGAGGGACTCGATGGTTTTGGGAAGCGCTCCTTGCGGGAGGTTAAAAATGACAGGTGAGGTTTTCAGATCTACTTCATTGGAAGGGATATAAATGTACTTTGACAGTATGGTGTGAGTTTTCTCTTTTTAATTGCAGTTTATTAAACTGGTATATTTTTTTTTTCCCACGTAATCTGTAAGTAGCCTATGAACCAGGCAGGGATTTGTGCACCTTTTTGCCRGCATACCAAAGGATGAGAGGTCTTGCACTGGTGTTCAGTTATTGGAGCTACAGCATATATTCCAATAAGACTTCTCTGTGATTTTTTTAGTTCAGTATTATTTATTTATATCCTTGCTAGTGGGGCATAGACTACTTATAGCTTGGAGGAGTTGTGTTATGCAAATCTAAAAGAACATCACAAAATTACCTTTCAATATGTAACTTATTAAGGAGACCCTACCTGGTTGCATAGCCAGTCTGTGTGTTAAAAGGGAATTTCTTGATAGTTTATAATTCTGTGCATTTGTCTAAATATACTAAAGTAGCATCTTCTGTCTATTTCCTGGAATGCAGGCAATATTTCCTTTTATTTTTTTTCTGTGTGTAAACAACATATGTGTGTAGTGTTGAATTGCATACCCTCTAGGTTACCAGGTGAGATGATCCTCCTAACGGGAGGAAAGGAGGTGGGTTGTTTTTCTAATCTGGAAGAGCTGCTGAGGAGGTTCATTTACAATGAGCTCAAATACAGGGTTTAACTGAAGCTTGTAGTTTAGCAATTCAGGGAAAGCAGCCTATTTTAAGCTTAATGTTTTTAAGCAGGGTAGCGTGTTAGAGCTTCTTTGCAAGCAAGTTAGGTTTATGTGTAAGCTGCTTTGATTGTAGTGTCTTAGGACTTGTTAAATATAATTCAACTGGTTGTTAATATCTTCAATTCCATAAAGGAATATTAAAGAGCTTGTATGTCTTTTTCAGCATATTGCCTGCAAACCATTCTTTGTGCTTCTGTTGTCTGGCTAGAGTGAGAAATTGTTGCTGCTTCTTTCAGATAGCTTTGTGCTTGCACTTTGCAGAGGTGATTCTGTGGCCCCTTTGCCAGTCAGAGCAAGTGATGGATGCTCAGAGCAAGTAATGGATGCTCTGAGCAAGTCAAATTCAAGTCCTTCAAATAGAAAGGAACCTGACATAGCAGTTTTAAAGCAAAAGAGCAAAAGTGTATGTGTGTGTACGTGTGTCTAACAGTAACAGAGGGTTTGAGTGAAACCTATTGTTAAGGCTCAAGCGATGTTTTTCCACTCAGATCAAGTTTGAAAGACATATACTGTAAAAAGCTGGTTCAGGAACAACTAGTAAAAGCCTGAAATCTGAAGATTCATAGAAGGAGAGAAACACTTTAAAGAACTGCTTGGTCTGCTTGCTTTTCACTCTGATGATATCCTTGTCTGTCCAAGTGTTAAAAATCTTTGAAGTATTTACTTAACTCTTCAGTTAGTTGTGAAGTTGAATCTGTATCAGTGTACTGAAAAATGACATCTGCCAGCTTTTGTCTTCCTGTAGGCCCCCTGCACACCTCAGCAGGTAGGAGGCTTGTTCTACTCGCTTATTGTGTGTACGTTGGATGTACTTGCTGCCTTTGGAAGTTGTGGTAGAAGCCACTGCTTTTCTTCTTAGTATTAAGTGCTTACCCAGAAGAAACCCTAGCAAGAGCGTAGTGATCCATTTGTATAGTAAGGTTGCATGTCTTCAGCACATCAAGCTGTACCATCCTGCAACTGTAGCGAAGTCTTCATCTGTGACAATTAAGATTAATGTGTATTCAGTTATTTCACATGCAAGCTTTAGAAAAATGGTGGTCTCTTAAAGTAGTCTCCACATTCAGATTGCAGAAGACCAGACTTGTCYGATTGGATTATCGTAAGAGCAAGATGTGCAGTCATTCCTTTTGGCAAAACTTTCAATAATAACATGTTATTTACTATCTATGTGTTTTTATTATTTCAACTGACTTTCTTCAAGGGAATGAGGAGAAATAAAGGACTTGAAAACTATTCAGAATCAAACATGACCACTGATATTTCTTGGGGGGGGGGGGGCCTGAAACATCAGTCACAAAATGAAGATTAAAAGCATAAAATTGAAAGCTTTGGGGTTTTTTTTTTGGTAGTGTATCTAGGTGTCAACATCTGTTGTAGAAACCATATGTTTATAATATTGTTTCATTTTTCTAAGTTACATATCTGTATTTGGGGATATTTTTCAGGCATCAGGACAGATGGAGTTGATGGATTGGAGCTGAAATTTGGTATAAGCTGGTAAAACCTTTTTTTTTTATTTGTGAAATAGCTCTATACACAGCTCTATGAAAAGGCTGTGTTATGAAATTCAAGACTGCTTATGAGCTGTGTTCATTCAGCAACATCCATAAAGTTCTGGGAAACGTGTCTGATGTGATATATATTCTTTGGAGGACAGCTTCCTGGCCTTGTTTTTTTGTTTTTCTGTTACACTGTGTAGTTCTTCCCTAATCCTGCTTCATTAAGAGAAGTGCACTGTGTTGCACACCAGCAGTGGGAGGAAGACCAAAAAGACCCAAACGTACAACTGCATGGAACAGTGAAGCTGTAATACCCCGCTGATGTGACAGTATGTATTTTCTATGCTTCTAAATACAGCTGCTAAGGTTGGACAGAGAACCTTCCTCACTAGTACCTGAAGGCTGTTATGTCAGAAATAACCACTGAGTAAATGGTAAATGTCCAGTAGAGAGGTGTGTTGGCCAAATGGCAAAGAACATCTGTAAAATTGGCAAGAAGTTGAACTAAATGAGTGTTTAGGTAAAGCTGAAATTTGATGTGGAGAGAGGTGGAGCTGAGGAAAGGGGGGAGAACTTGCACAAAAGCAGTAATTGCCTCAGTGTGTGAGTGTGAGGATTAGTCTCCTTGGGAGAAGTTCTGGAAAGAGTCCCATTTTGTTTTGGATGAGTGCAAACATTTACGTATAGCTTGAGTTATGTATCAGCAAGGAGATGAAGTACGTGGCCTCATGGCCTCCTTCCTCCCTCCGCTGGGTCCTCTGGAAAATGAGCACTGAACAGCCACTGGCAGCTCTTCTCGATTGTGCTGGGAGAGGATTTCCAGCTTGAGGAATACTCTTAACCTTGCTCTGGTGACCAAGGAGGTCTTCAGCAAAGCTTATAAAGGGAACTTGCGAATCTCATAGTTGTTACAAACACGTTTGGAATTGCAGATGGAAATTTCTGCTTCCTTTTTTTCAGCAAAAATGAATGGTTTGTACCCAAGACTGTTAGATTTGACTCCAACTAGAAAAATTCCTGTGTTACAAGTATACTTATCATTGCTTTGTAGTATGCTGTACCCCAGTGACCTCTTAAGTGACCATAGGTAGGGGTTTTTTTGTTTCTTTTTTTTAAACAGCTCCTAATATATAAAATAAAGTGAAGATGTTTTTGGAATGGTTTCGTATGCTACTGTTGTAGAGTACGGAAGATGCTTTCTCAGAGCACATGTACCATTCCAGTAGKGCAGCAAAGCATAGGACCCTAGTTCCCCAGGTAGGTTGTGCATGTTTCCTGTTTGTAGAGCTGGAGTCCTTTCTGAGGAATCAAAAGCAAGTCAGTAAGTATTCAGGAAACGCTTAGACAGTGCCCATATGCAGTATTAGTACAGATGTGATTGTGTTTGTTTTGATGTAATCATTGTAAATCAGTGATTGACTTAGAGCAGGAAGAAGGGGAGTAATAGAAATTTCTAACAGCTTGACTTGCTACAAATGAGTATTACTCAATACTTCAGTGTTACATAATGAAAGAATATCAACCTTTGTTCTCACAGCATGAGTTTTTGCATCTACCATAGTGCTTATGTGCTTAGAGTGCCTCTTAGGGAAACTGTA